TAGGCTATGTTTGTTTAGACAAACTGAATTAGATGAAATTAGTATTTTTATAGCTAATAGTACTAGAATTATCAATTCATTTGGATTGTGTATCTTACCTCATCTTTGGGTTAACTTAGGATTTACCAAGAGGGATTGACAAAATCCTATCAATTTTACAATTTCACTAATTAGTCAGAACCTCTCTTTAGTCCTCCTTCTGGGATTCAATAGTTCTACAAGGAAAATGAGTGAGAGCACTAATTAGTGCTACCACTAATGATGTGGTAGTAGGTCCCACCATGAATGATTTGATGTTTTGGCCTTAGTGTTGTATTTTTTTTCTTTTTTTATTGAGTGCCATGTCATTAGTGGTCTTTTTAGAGCTCCAAAATTAGTGGTCTCTATCATTGTTGGTTCCACAAATAGGGAATACTATGTCTGAATGGGTTATTAGTATGAACTCCAATTTTCTTAGCCAAACATGGAATTATGTTTTTTGTTGGATTATTAATCCAATAAGACCATGCCCGCCCAAACAAATATGGCGTATGGATTAAGAGATTAAAAGACCAAAATATCATCACACTCTAGTCATTACATCATGTAGTCCATATCTAGTGATTCCAAACAAACATGGAACATGATATGATTCTACTAAACCTCTATCCTGATCTTGATCCAGGAACATTCTAAGGGCTGGTTTGGGGTAACCTGAATCAGCTAAAAAGCCAAAAAGTTACTCCAAAATTTAAAAAGATATCACTATTCATCCAAAAAAAAAATTAAAAAATTAATTTCTTTCAAAACAGGTACACACAGAATTGACAAATAGTCAGCGGCTGTGTGCAGCAGTGCAGAACAAAAGAAATGATTGGGTGTGATTTTTATATACACCGTTGTTCGTCCCATGGGGCCATCACGGGTCCCGTTTTGATAATCTGAACCGTTCAATATGTAGAAATCGTCGAGTAATATATGTCTGCCAAAAATCACATTAATCGGATAACGATAACTATATGATCAAATCAGTTATGTACAACAAATGGATGGTGTTATAATTAATGATTGAAAAATAAATAAATCTAATCAGATAGCTATCGATATCCGATTAACATGATTTTTTGTAGGTACATAGTGTTCGACGAGTTACACACATTGAACGGTTCAGATTATTAAAATGGAACCCGTGATGACCCCCACGGGCCAAACAAAACCGTCCAATGCTTTGTACAAAAATTAGCCAATAATTTCCAACCCCAATACACGGCTGCATTGTGTACGGCTGGGGCCCACCACTCTCTAATCATTTCTTACACATTTTTTTTATACAATTTTTTAATACACATTTTTCCATAAAAAATCTAAAAAGTTAACCCAAACCTCCATATTTTTTTCTCAACTTTTTTAGTCTAAAAAGACAAAAAGTACACTTTTTTAAGACATCCCAAACCAGCCCTAAATGTGAGTTAGTGTTTGGGAAGTAGATTTTTTTGTATGTTTTTTTAGTTGTAGGATATTATTAGAGAAATTTTATTTTATGTTTGGAAAGATAGTTGAGTTTTTTTTTGGTTAGATGTGATGTTTGTGAGGGAAAAAATAAAATAATTATGGAGTTTGATGAGATATTTTGTTTGGATTTATTTATTTATTTATTTTTTGTTTTAGTGAAAAAAAACCAAAAAACAAACTTCTCAAACACCGCCATAATCTTAAAGGATTGATAATCCTAAACTAACAGTCTCATGCAATCCAATCCAATGAAATAAACAAGACCACTATGTAATACCGACTCCGCAATTCACTGCCTGGTATGGAGGAAGAGTGATACCGGGTATTGAATCCCACTGGGGTAAGATGTAAAATGGGAGGATTAACCAAGTCCAAATTAAAGGATTAAAAAAACTAAAATATTCTCAACGCTTGGTTTGGTTATTCTCAAACTATGGTCATTACCTCATGCAGTCCATATCTAGTGATTCCAAAAAAACATAGATATGATGATTCCGCTAAAGCCCTCTCTTGATCCAGGACATTCCAAAAGTGGGATAGGATACATAATCGTAACTAATAAAAATTTCTTTTGAAAAACGGCCCCAAACTTTTCTTTTGGGTGTATAAACCCCAAACTAATAGTCCTGTGCAAACCAATCCAGCAAAATAAACACGACTATATAAATACCGGCTAGGAGATCCACTGCCCAGTGTACAGGAACATAAAACATTTTTTGCTTCATCTTATGACTACATCAAAGAATGCTGCTTGTGTGATGTTTAATTTTCATGTGTATTTCAAGAATGTCAAAATCATTCTTCTCATGGATAAGTAAAACTTAGATTTAGTTGACCATATTGACTCCAAATATGAATTACTTCATAAGAACCAACTCATCCCAGGCGCATAAGCATCCCTCGTGATTCATGAACATGCAGGATGGATGTTTTTGATTTGATTGATTATGTTGACCTCAACATAAATCAACATCATACAAACTTAAAATCTCACCGTCCTAGAGTCACTTCCATCTCGCTTATCCAAAACAGGAGAGGGACAGAGACAGACACACACATACAGTCCTTAAGGTGTTGGTAATAGTTACTCTAAATAGGACCAATTTAAAAGCCAATTCAACTAGCGAACTACTTTCTATTTGTGTCTAGGTTTTGGAGCAGCTCCAAATCCCACTTAGCTAAGCGATGAAGTTCAAGAAAAGTATGACGTATGACCAACAAACTATCAATTGCAAATAAGAAGCAAGAGCACGAGTTTTAGATGAAAAGCATGAATAATAAGTAACATCATGATTTAAAATTTTACACAAGTTAATAAAGGTTTTTAAATTATCACCTCAAAACAATCAAGTACCAAGGTTTTCTCCAAAACATAAAAATAAAGCTTACACCGCGTCGGCGAATACTTCTAGCCCTCAGAGAATTAGCACTAGGCTCGGTGATCGAAATAGTCAATTCAAGTACCTACAACACACACACAAGAGGATCAGTTTAGATTAAAAACAGAGTTTTATTCTAGTTCACGAAACCATCACATGCAATCCGGACTCCCAAGCCACTTACATGCAAGATAATTCATAAAAAAGAGAAGTGTGTGTTTGGTTTGATTTTTTTGGATTAAGTTTTTTGAAACTGAGTCTTTTATTTTTCATGTTTTTTTTATTTTTAGTGAATATTTTTAAAATTTTAAGAATTTTTTTTTTTTACTTTTTTAAATGCACCTTACTTAGATGTATCTAAAAAATAAAAAATTTGTGAAAAAATATTTCAAAAAATTAATAAATACATATAAATATGAAAAATATACTGAATTCTTGTTTTTTTTATTTTTTTTTATTTTTGATATTTAGTGAATTTTTAAAAGATTTTTTTTACAAAAATTATACTTTTTATGTATATTTAATTTAGGTGTGCCTAATAATTAAAAAAAAATTGCCTAAAATATTAAAAAAATTCAATAAAAACAAAAAAATACGGAAAACAAAAAAATAGAATTTTTTAAAAAGTATTTTTGGAAACCAAAAACAAGCAAAGTGAATAGTTTTTTTTTCTCCAAAAAAAAAAAAAACTTGCAAAAAAAAAAAATCATATTAAGAATGGTTACATATCTTTGGGTCAAGTTATGAAGCACAAAAATGGATACAATTCGATATCGATACAAATACAATACTGATATGGCAATATGAAAAAAACCTTTAAAACAAGATAATGATACGATAAAATACTTGAATAAAAATGTATATATCATATTTATAATAATAAATTTTAACAAATTCTAAGCGTTCTTCCCAAAATAAGAAGCCTTCGTGCAGAAGGATCATGTTCAATTTAGGGCTTAGTTGAGTTCAACTAGGCTTTGTTTGAGGGTCTGTCACACTTGAGCTTCAGTTCAATAGGGTTCAGTTGTAAGTTTGATTATATGAATTTTTCCCAGCTATGATTCAGATAGAGCGAGAAAGTTGAGAGCAATTGAGCAATACACAAAGATGTGGAAAGGGGGCCAATTGATCAGCCTTTAAATATGCTTACATTTTTTAAAACTAAATAGAGCCAAATGTTACAGATTGTTTTATGCTTTACAACCAAAGAAGCACAACACTTCTAAGAAGGCGGCATACACGTGTCGTGTCTGTGGACACCAACACTCGTCAAAACGTGTCCTATTTTTTAAAAAGGTTTTTAGATCTAGACACTCTTCGGACACTCTAGTCCATCGCTTCAACATACGTGTCTAGCGATTTAGACACACATGAAACTACTTAGAAGTTTGAAAACTTAGGATATAACAATAAAAGAAAAAACAATATAAATTTATAAAATAAGTATTATAGTACATTTTTTTATTATCTTTGAATGATATATTCATATATATGACATATAATAAATATCTTAGCTTATATCAAAAGTTCATCTTGTTTATCTATTGCCATTGTTTCAAAAATTTAAAATTGAAAAACTTACCCTGCCACATTGCAGAAGTATTTGAGCACATTCAAATTGTATCCAATCCTTAAAATTAATTTAATATTTTTCAGATATGTATGGCATGTATCCAATACATACTGGGCTATAACCAATGTGTATCGATGTCCGATATCCAATACAAAAACTAAAACCTTAGGGAAGTATCTTAACTTTATAGTTCAAAGCACATTAATGCAGATGCAGTACATGCCTTTTAGTCTCTCTTTCTCTCTCCACATAATGATGGCATTGAATTTGTCGAAGAGAAAAAAAGACAAACATCCACTGGATTGAAGTTCAAAAACTCTGGAAGACTTGCAAAATTCATGAAACATGAATTGCATACCAGTCATCTTAAAAAAGAATAAGATAATTGATTGAAGTTCAAAAACTCTGGAAGACTTGCAAAATTCATGAAACATGAATTGCACACTAGTCATCTTAAAAAAGAATAAGATAATTAAAAAGGGACACATGCACGGAAAAATTATAGACAAGGGAACAGCCTCACAAATAATAAAAAAAAAAATTACAAAAATAAGTACTTAGGCAAAGAAATTATGGAAATTGATTTTCCATTTTTCCATTACCTGCATATTGTAGCTCCACATACAAACTAGCAAGATGACATGTAACATATGGAAGTAGACACTAATTTTGTGACTATAGAAAGCAAAAATACAATGTTCAATGATATTACTACTAGGGAAGTCAAAATAACGAGACCACAAAGCCATGAAGACCTCTACTATTGATCTCTTGACTCGGGCCATCTTGCCGAACTTCTCAAATCTCCAGTGAGGCTATTCTCATGTAACTAAGTTCCTCTCTCTCTCTCTCTAGGGGACTGCAAAAGTGATTGTGGTATGCAAAATGTCTCTCTAATGGCAATCTCAAATTGACTTTTTCATAGATGCTCTGCAATTCATTTTTGGTACTAGTGAAGGCCTTTAGCATATTGTTCCCACATGATTTTTCATCTTCGCTGTTAAGTTGCTAGCACTCTTCTCACATGCATTTTGGGGCCTTGAATTTTTCAGTAAGGTTTCAGCTATCCCAAATGCAATCTCCTCCCTCCCCCCATTTCGTTGCAATTTATTCAGCTCCTCAAAAGAAGCTATTTGAAAATAAGAAACATAAATGATAGGCTAAGTTAGTACCTTGTTTATGGAGGAGCCTTAGCAGCATGTAAAAACCTTAAATTTGTGGTTTCCATTAATTCTCCAAACTAGGTTTTTATTATCTCACTTTGAACTCCATTTAATGGAATTAGTTAACTGTACATGGCGATAGTCCCCGGATTGGATCTCCCAAGATGAACAATCTCAAGGCATCATATCACCCACTAAAAACAGTCTGGCAATCAAACAAGGCCATAGGGTATAGTTCATAGTCTCCCTTAATAACTCTGGTCCAGCTCCATGGCACTGAAAATGTATCAGGGCACAAGTGATTCAACAGAGTGACAAGACTAAGTTGCCTTTAATTTCCTCACCAAAGCCTAGCCTACCAACCAGTCAATTATAAACTTTTCGTCTTTCGCTTTTTAGTAAAATGTTGTCTCTCTCATGAAAAGACAGCAGAGTTGTGGATCTAAATAGGATGCTCCGAGATTTTAGGAAAGATTAATGTTACCTGTGGCGTCAGAGGTTGGGCCATGCCGGCGAATCCTTTTTCTAGGCGGTCGGTCTTTTGAACTAGAGGAGGCAGCGGTGGATGCGATTGGGCGCAGGAGTTCGTCGATTGTGGAAAGGGATCAGGGGCTCAGAGGGCGGTCCTGCTTGTTGGCTTCGAAGTACGTTGGCTGGTGGCGAAAATGTGGAAGGCTTCGTTCGTTGGATCTCGGGACCCTTAGATTTATGAGGCAGCTTACTGGCGGCTGCCGTAGTGTAGCAGTTTGGGTTCGCGGTGAGGAAGAGGGTGGGTCATCCATCCAAATAGTGGTGACGGAGGGGAAGCGAAGGGCTCAGCTTTTCTTTCCGATGTCTGCCTTTGGCGATAGGTGGGGGAGGGGGGATTTGGCTTTGGTTATTGAAGGGTTTGGATTAGGTGATGGTTGGGTAAAGCATCCTGGTGGTGTGCGGGGGATGGGGCTACCTATTTCTACGCCTATGGCAATGGGAAATCGTGGTATGGCTGCAGTGGTTCAGGAGGTACACATAGCAATGGAAGGTGAGTGGTTTCAACTAGTGGATAGGGCTTTAGTGGGCCATCTGAGGGGCGTGGGTGGTAAAGGCTTGAGTTTTGCGGCTATGTCAGACTAGGTCCGTCAAAGGTGGCAGGCGTCGGGGTAGGTGGAGGTGCGTCCACTTGGTGATCAGGCTTTTTTGTTTGTCTTCTCTTCCAGATGCGAGGCGGAAATTGTGTTGCGTCGTCGGTGGACTCTTGATGGTTGTGATTTGCTGTTGGAATGGTGGACACCCTTGATCCTCTGTGCTTCGGGGTCGGAATCACCACCAGGACCAAGAGAATGGATTGGCGCCGTCCGCCGGCGAGGCGGGTGGCTCTGGTCGGGGAATAGAAGGGCGAGATCTGCGGCGAATGAATCGGTGATTTGCAAAGATCGTGGGGGTCAACGAATACAAGCAGAGATTTGGGCAACCCACTGATTTTAAGGGCAAATGGGTTTGGGTTATTCCTAATGCCAAAGGTGGCTTTGCAGTGGGCTCAATAAGGGATTTACCAGGACAATAGTTGGGCCATTCTGAGGCCCGAAAGGCTGTTGATGTTTCTTTGGGCCAGCAAAGGTGGGCTCCGGTCCATCACCATCCAAAAGTAGGCCTAGCTTGTGGAAAGGTTATTATGAGCCCCCCTAGGTGTGGTTTAGGCCCAATGGAGAAAGATCCAGCCCTACCCAAGCCGGGTCAATCCAATCCAGAACTTAGTTGGGTTTTTGCTTCCCTTCGCGACGGGTTGGAGCTTCGTCGGACCTATACTGCCATGGAAGTGTTGCCGGAGTCTGTGTGACCTCATGTGAGGGCTGCTGAGGAGGGTTTCGGAGGCTCCTTATAGTCGCCTGGATCTACTATTGGAGTTTCTCCGACGCACTATGCTGATCTTGCGGCAGAGGAACAGTGTTTGCAGGAGCTGAGTTGCGGGGAAAGGTGCGAGACAGAGGGGACTGACAATGAAGGTTGTTGGGCCACACTGGTATATCAGCTGGCGTTGGTGGTCCGACCTGAGGTGGTGACTGTTGGGGTAGATGTGGGAGATGTTGCGGTTGAGGAGGGCATTTCTAGCATAGCAGTGGACTTCCAGGAGGATGTGATTCCGAGTTCCAAGGAGGTATCGAGGTGGGTCCTTCCTTGCATTAATGAGGTTAGCCAATTTCTGGGGGTGTCTTTTAAAGGTCATGAGCATGAGGCTTTTGCTTTATTTTCTGCCATTGAGGGCTCCTGGAGGGAGAGTGCCCCGAACTGCCAAGTGGTGACGCCAATGAAACAGAATGAGAAGAGTGTTCGGAGTTACGAAGATTGGAGTGCTCTATCAATTATGATCAGAGTGAAGATGGGGATGGACGGGCTGCTAGGAAGGGTCATGGTACTCCATTGTTGTTGCAATGCGGTTAAAAATGTTGTCTTGGAATGTGCATGGTTTACATGATAGGGGAAAACGGGTGATGGTGAAATCTTTGTTAAAAAGCGCGCGTGCGGACGTGGTTTGTCTACAGGAAACCAAGTTGGAGAGTTTGGGGGCAGAGATGGTTCGGGAATTGTGGGGTGGTCGGTTTGTGGATTCGACGTTTTTACCTGCCTAAGGGGTGGCTGGGGGAGTTCTCATTTGTTGGGATGGGAGGGTGTTAGTTAAGGAGGAGGAGGAGGTGGGGACTTTTTCCATTTCTTGCCTTTTTCGATGTATTGAGAATGACTTTCCCTGGGCCTTTACAGGTGTTTATAGGCCAGTTTATGGAGGAGAGCGGATTGGTTTTTGGGAGGAGCTTCACTACATTGCCTTTTGGTGGGGGGTTCCATGATGTGTCGGTGGTGACTTTAATGTGGTGCGGAGTTTGGAGGAGAAGAGGGGGGCAAGCTTGGTAACGGCTTCTATGCGAATGTTTTCGTCATTCATTGATGAGGTGGAGTTAGTAGATCTTCCAATGTAGGGTGGTGCATTTACATGGTCTGGAGGTGGAGTGATGTCTCGGCTTGATAGATTTTTGGTCACAGGGGACTGGGAGGAGCATTTTCAAACGTGACCCAAACACGTTTGCACCGTCCAGTTATCGATCATTAGCCAGTTTTATTGGATAGTGGGGGTATCCGAAGTGGGCCGACACCGTTTCGGTTTGAGAACATGTGGTTGTTGTCTGAGGGTTTTCTGGAGCAGGTAAAGGGCTGGTGGGATAGTTATGTGATCTCCGGCTTGCCTAGTTCTTGTCTGGCACAGAAATTGAAACTTCTTAAGTCCGATTTGAAGAGATGGGACAGGGAAGTGTTTGGACGCTTAGAGGTCCAGAAGGCCGATGTGCTCGCTGTGTTGCAGAAGTTGGACGTCATAGAGTCCGAGGGGGTATTGCCTGCGGCGGATCTTCGTCGTTGAGATGATGTCCGCAAGGAGTTAGGCCAGATTGCTCGTATAGAGGAGATTAGCTTTCGGCAAAAATATAGATGTCTGTGGTTAAAGGATGGGGATCAAAATACAAAGTTTTTTCATCGAATGGCGAATGCCCATTGGAGGGTGAATCAGATAGGTCGTATGCATGTAGATGGTGTGGAGTTGTCTTCTTCAGATGCGGTCAGGGCCGGTATTGTGGGCTTCTATGAGCACCTTTTTCAGGATGAGGGGGAGGTGTGGAGGCCAAGCCTGGATGGTGTTTCTTTCGATGTTATTTCGGACACGGTTAGTTGTAGGTTGGAGCACCTGTTCGCAGAAGATGAGGTGTTGGAGGCTTTGCGCAGTATGCCTGGGGATAAGGCGCTGGGTCTAGATGGTTTTACATTAGCATTTTTCCAGCATTGTTGGGAGGTGGTGAAGGCCGATATGATGGCAATGTTTGAGCAGTTTCATCAGACTGGTGAGTTTGAGCGTAGTCTTAATGCGACGTTTATTGCTTTGATCCCAAAGAAGGGTGGGGCGGAGGATATTCGAGACTTCCGTCCTATCAGTCTGTTGGGTAGTATGTATAAGCTTTTGGCGAAAGCGCTGGCTAATAGGTTACGAGATGTGTTGGAAGGGGTCGTTTCTGAGTCTCAGAATGCTTTTGTGGGCGGGCGGCAAATTCTAGATACGGTCTTAGTGGCAAATGAATGTGTGGATTCTCGACTCCGCCAAGGGCAGGCGGGACTTATTTGCAAACTTGATATTGAGAAGGCTTATGATAATATTAATTGGAAGTTTTTACTATATATGTTGGACAGACTCGGTTTTGGAATTAGGTGGAGGCTTTGGATCCAATTCTGTATTTCCATAGTGCGGATGTCAATTCTTGTGAATGAATCTCCAGCGGGTTTCTTTCCTACTTTTAGGGGGCTCCGGCAAGGAGATCCTTTATCTCCTTTATTGTTTATATTGGTGATGGAAGCGCTGGGGCAGTTGTTCACTAGGGTGGTGCAGGGAGGACGGTTGCAGGGGTTTACGATGGGAAAGGCTCCTGCAATTTTGTCGGTTTCTCATTTGTTCTATGCAGATGATGCTCTTATTTTCTGCGATGCGAATGTGGATCAAATTGGGTATTTGAGATGTGTGTTATTGTGTTTTGAGGCTGTCTCAGGTCTTCGGGTGAACTTAGCAAAGTCAGAATGGATTCCAGTGGGGGAGATGGCTACAATTTCGGTGTTGGTTGCTATTATGGGGTGTAGGGTGGCGACTTTGCCAGTTACGTATTTGGGATTACCTTTGGGGGTGTCTTTTAAGTCTAAAGGTGTGTGGGATAGGGTAGTGGACCGTGTGCAACGGCAGTTGGCAGGATGGAAACGACAGTATTTATCCAAAGGAGGAAGACTTACGTTGATTAAGAGTGTTCTCTCTTCCATCCCGACATATTTTGTCTGTCTATGTAATCCCGGTGTCAGTGGCCAAGCGTATAGAGTAGTTGCAGAGGGATTTCTTGTGGGGTACGGGGGGGAGGGTTACCGTTATCGCTTGGTGGCCTGGATCGGATTTGTCGTCCCAAGGTGC